ACACAACTGACTGGAGTAATTTTGACCCTTAATAAGCATGATGACGACGAAGAATAAAGATGCACATGCAATCTGTTAGCATGAACCAACAGAGTAGAAAAATCCAGAATATATAATGTAACATATTATAGCTCAACTTCACAATATATGCTACACTATCATTATGCTATACTCAGCATGTACATTTTCGTTCGTGACAAGAATTGTGCGTAATGATAAACAGCGAACGAAGACAAAATATGAACCAGAAAACTACCTGTGAAGCGTGAGCGACTATTTGATCCCAAAGGGTGTTGGGCAGCGACATCAATTCTTCGAGCAGGTGTTTTTGAATTTCAGCATCCTGCTGGGCGCTAACCAGATAGCCCATCGCCTCGTAGAAGATGTGCACCTGAGGTGGCGATAAGTCACAAATCACTGAACTCAGGTTTAACAGTATTTCTTCGATGAATGGTTGATTTTCACAGGCTTGGATCTTAAAGTAAAGAAAATAAAAGTAACGCTATATACAAAATACCTACTATACCTAAAAAGCCAAGCACTAAGCATGTAAAGAAAGGAACTCGTCAATTTTCGAACAATATTTTAAAAAACATTTCATGTTAAAACTTAATGAAATGTAAAGAGCTGCGTCTGCGTCAATGCGTCAGAACAGCAGTTCCATCTCTGATGTTTCAATGCAGAGAAGGGCAGTGAATGCACACTAGCTTGATTCTCTGGCTTAATAAGAGTGGACACCGTGTGAGTCTGAAACCTAACTTTCTCCATACCACGTTGTAGACTGCTGCTTTACAGAAGTCATATATTTTTCTCTTCAGTCATTTAACCCAATCTGTAAAATATTTCGAGCTTCAGGATAATGCAACCCATACCCAAGCTTCAGCAAGTGCAGACCAATAAATGTCAATGTCATGCATACAAAGGCAAACTTTGCCCATGCGAAACAGTTAAAAGATTTCGAAAGGGAAAATATTTGTACTACTTTGTACTACATGATAGCAAATAAAACACTCCTTTAAAATGTTTCAAAATAATTCTGTCATCCAAATGTCAAAAGAATGAGTATATTGCGTTCATAAGTTTGTGGTCATACCGAAACAGTACAAAACGTTGTTTATTTTTATATAAAGCAAAACAATTTCGTCAATCGGATGAATGAACAGTACTTCGAAGTTTCGGACCATGTCTAGTGAACTCACTGGATCAAAACGAAAGAACACATGCGGACGACATTAAAAAACTTCACAAATCAACAGTATTGAAGAAAACTTGAGACAGGCCGAAAGGGTGGTATTGTTTTGCGCTGCTTTTAGTTTCCAGAGTAAACGAAATAATTTTTTAGTAGTAGCCTAGCGATCTCTAAGCGTTAAGTTACCGAAAACAACTTTACTGATAATTCAGGCGGGCGGAAGGCACGCAGCTAGAAACGGTAGACGATGAGACTACGAGAACAGTGGGACAATGTTCGAAAGGAGCAGTCGAAAACTGCCTCAGACTTCAATATCGTAACTTTCAGCTACTGCCTTAACCGAATTTACAGCTTAGTCGAACAGTATTTATTATTAAAGAGAAGACAACAACAGAAACCTCATGAGGTTGTGACCTCCGCCTCACCCCAAGTGCTTTCCAGTGGTACTACAAACTACAGTTCTATTTTACGTTAAGATTACACTGAATCTGAATCATAATTCATTTTCAGCAATTTTCACGGCATCTTAAAAATTATGCAGCATCAGTCGATAACCACTGAGTACAACATATGGACAAACATTCAGGTATGACCCAAAGCTTGCTAAATAATAAATTTGAATTGTGAAGCAAACCTTCGTGAATATGTTAGAACAACAGATGCATACGTATATGCAACCAAACAAACACGATTTCAAAAATGTGACAACTTGCACTTACGATGACAAAGTGCTTGCGGCATTTGTGTGCGATTTTTATAAACGTCTCACAAGCCATATCTTGAACGCCTTCATGGGTTTCGTGCATAAACTCGAACAGCTTGTTGACGACCGTCTTCAAGAATTTCCAGTGAGCCCGAAGAAAACGCGGGTACTGGCCGACAACGTACATAATATTTGACGCGATCACGGCTTTGTTGTCTTTGCCCCGTTTTTGCTCACACAGACCCAACAGGTCTAAATAAATAAGGCAATGTTATAAATTATCATATTTAGAATGCTTTGCTAGCGCAACCGAGAAAAACAGTGACTTTCACTTTTGACCGTACGGTGTCAAGTTCTCCAAATCTTTCAGATTCGTGATGATCATAAGTATAGCTCGTATCATGATGCTTTCGGGTAGCAATCACTGGTCAGCCTAATCAGGAATTGGCCTGATCTATTTTCCACAGTAGTAAATGTTACGGTGAAATAATGGGTCGGCAGATGACTAACTCTGCCCATAGTTGCACTTTTCGAAACCCATAGCCAGTTATGCCCAACTTTAACTCAGACATACATGAACACAAAACTGGCCTGAAACAGTAAGGAAGAACCACTGCTAACATAATTCCTGGCAAACAACCGATCCAACGCACTTACCCTACAGAGAACTTACGTTGCATCAGAACAAGTAACAGTAATTTGTTCTTACCATACTCTTCAGCCTAGAACGCATAAGGGTATACCAAGTGATACACGCAGTCAGCGCAGTCACTTCAACTGATGGCTCACGAATGCCAAGCCAACTATTATGTGCGTTCAGTACCCGAGAAAAGGAGCAACTGCAATACAAATAAGCCCTTCCCTAATACTGGTTTAAGCAGCAGTTTTTGCGCTGCCAATTGTTCCTAGAAATCCAGTGTGTTAATCTTACAAGAGGCTAATCCATGAAATGTTGAGCACATTTTTATTATTATTTTTAGCCATACCTTGACATCACTGGGTAAGGAAATTATCTTACTCAGAACCATGTAAATCAGGTAAAATATATTTTAGATGGACTGCATAATTCCGTAACGACTTGTCAATCACTGAGAGAAGACAAGCATCAAAGTATGGGATCAAATGATAGAAGTAGTGACATGGAGTGGAAACTCGAACCAGTACAGCAACCGAGAAGCGCCTGCCAAGCAAGCCAAGAACCAAAAAAAGTAAGCCAGCCTGATATGTTTTTCGGCATAGCAAGGAACCATGCCTAACATAAACTGTGGAATCACTCCAGACGTATGCGAAATCACATATTTGAAGAACTCCGCTATACAGACAGAGAGCGATTTACGAAAGCAGAGCATAGTAAAGCTTCAGGACCAATAGTATGAGTATGAAAAAGAAACATGTTATCAAACAATCATGTGCAAATGACTGGGAGCCACCATTATGTGATGTTCAGACACGGAGAGACAGAAGGAACAAACAAACGGCTCATTCGCAACGGTATCGCTCCCCCGTCACAACTGTTCTCAACGAGTTCTTTCCGTCTGATCACAATTCAATTTTTATCCCTGCGGATTCAGAAGACTAATCGATTCATGACTCACCTCGAATCACCATTACTAGGAATTGCTTTTCATCTTCTTCCATCAGTGCACCGCTTATCGAGCCGATTGCCCAACAAAGGGTGTTAAGGTTTTTCCATGACCATTCGGTTCCATTAACCTGGTTCTGCAATTTCTCGGTCATTATCCTCTCAGTATCTACGTAGCCGAGGTGAGTTAGATAAACCAGCGTCTCGCGCATCGTCTTGTAGAGGTTGATCGCATCAGTATCTTTGATCGTTTCGCGAACCACTTCGCCCTGGTCGTTTTGTATCACCAGAACCTCTTCCGGTTTAGCCATGCGCCCAATTATGATATATCGCAGCTGAAACAGCAGCATGATGAGTGTTAATAAACCGACATCATACATTAATAAGGTAGAACTGAACAGCGTTTAGGATTCATGAGAAAATGCTGTTTAATTGGAATAAATACAAATCCGAAAACGGCAAATGAGGCAATCACTCGAACATTGTCATTACAGTTTTGCAATAGCAGAACGAACTTACGCTGGTGAGGTGGTCATTGTAAAGTTTGATACGCAGAGGAATATCGGCGGCGGTGATGCCAAAACCGCCTACTGCGACACCCATCGAATAATTTGCCAAAAACGGACTTTCCCGGTAAAGCTCTGCCGCCAACCAGTTCCAGTACTCGAGACAAATTTTGAACACCTC